ACTCATTTTAGGAGTTTTTGGGCTTTAACATAGTAAATTCAACTGCAAAAAGTGTTGGGGAAAAAAACCCATACCGTTTTCTGCGTATGTTACTTCCTGTTCTCTATCTATGGCTTCCTGCAGTCATTGAATAACACTGCTAAGACTTATCAGGCCGAGGAAGGACCTAACCTGTTTTTTGTATCTACTATATTAATAATGTACCATGTGTTTTCTAGCAAATAACTGCTTAGGAGTGGGATGAAGGGACCTGGTTTTGGGTTTTTTTCCCATATTTAAATATAGGTAACAAATACTGAAATATTTATGGTATGGCTCTAGATGAGGAGAGAATAATTTTATTCACTGTCTCTGCTTTCCTTACAGGGTATAAAAATGGTAGCCAGAAGTGGTTCAGGGAAGAGAATTTTCTCATGTATTTTGTCTTTATAAGCCATTTTTTGGATTCAGCTTGGATCTCGTCCTATATGCAGTAGTTCACTGCTTTTTTTTTTTTCAGTTCAACTAACGGAGATGGAATTTTCATCTCAAGAATACAGAGATCGTGACTTGAATTTCTTCTGAATAGTGGAAAATGAAGAGACCAAACGGGTTATTTTTATAATCACTGAGGTGTTTTCACATATCTTGTGATTTCGGAGGGATTTTAGTGTACGCTGCCTTCTAACCCCAAGTCTTTGTGTAACCATGAAGTCTAAACCATGTTCTTTAAAAGAGAGATGCAGGAGATTGTCATGAAGTTGCTGGTAAAGGTGAGGCAGGGCAGGAGAGGAGAGAAGTGTCACAGGAATTGTAATGAAATACAGGAACTAGCAACACTGCAGAGTTCCTCTTATTTTTTCATTGTGATTCTTCCTGACACAAACTAAACCAGTTAGACCTTTTCTATTCTAAGATCATTCATGGAAAGAAAAAGAGGGTATAACCTCTTTTGCTCCTTATAAGGGATCTTTTTTCCAAAAGTTTCTTTTTATTGTGCAAGCAGGGTTTCAATGGCCTTTTTTTTCCCTTGGGAATTTCTGGTTTTGAAATCGAAAGTGTTGCTTGGGATGAGTTCCATTAGCATCAGAGGCTTCCTGCTCTCAGAACTGGCCTCTGTTTTATAGCTAATACCACCTATAAAACAGGCAAATAGAAAAGCCTTATACCAAAGCCTTAAGGGCTAACCTGGTTTTGTGCAGAAAGGAGAACAAAATTTCTCTTTGTACCACCTAGAAAGGACATCTTTTCTTATACTGTAGCTAATTTCAGTGGAATGTGGCAACAACAGCAATAGTTTAACTGGGAAGCAACTTTAACAGATCCTAGCTGATAGAGAACAATTCTCTTTTTCCTTTCCAGAGTTCAGCAATGTTGCTGTCTTGCAAGCATGCAAGAGAGTGTCAGAGAGTTTGCCAGAGTCTTGCGTTGGAATCCGACCTTTCCTGGAAAGTAAAACACCTTCAAAGCACTGATCCTTCTTCTGTTAACACTCTTTCCTGCTCTTAGGTCCTGAAGTCAAGACTTGATTTTTGCAGTTGCGGTCAGTTTGGTAGGAGATTTTTGGTTCAAACTGATCCCAGAATTTCTTTTGTAAGCCTCAGCTTTTGTTAGATCCTAGCTGCAGCATTACTTCTGCTCCAGAAAAAGCATATTTAGCGTTCATTCTTAGTAAATGTTAATATATGCCATTTGGCCTTTCTACTGTGCTGCTTTGGTCATTTGGTGTTTCGTTGTAGCTGTTGGTCAGAATGCCTGTTGGTAAGTTACCCTGATTTGGAGTTTTGTCCTCTTCAGCAAGACTTTGCCATTAGAGCTAGTTTCATGTAGAAGAATAGGACTTCAGATTTCAACTTGAGTTCAAGCTTAGAGATATTAATTTACAAAAAAACCCAGATTGAATGAGGACTCTTGGCTTTGCAAAGTAGAGAGCAAGTGTGACGTACCTAACATTCAGAGGAAAAATATCTTGAGCTTGTTGCTGGAAAAGGGGCAAAAAAAATCCCAGCTATTGCTATCATATCCTGGACATCTTAATCCAACAGGCAGGGGTTTAGTAGGATACTGGTGAAAATACTGCAGAATAAAGAAGACAGAGAACAGAACAATACTGACAAACTTACTGCAATGTGTGTGAGAGGAGGACAGATGATATGCGCCAACCTTACTCTTCCCTGTGGGTGATACTTCTGGTCTCAAGGCAAACACTGCAACTGGTCAGAGTTTTTTCTTTTAAGATGAAAAGGACAAGGGAGAGGGAAGGAGGGAGAAGAAGAAGGGAAGAAAAAAAATCCTAATTGCAGTCATCCCGCTTGGCAAGCAGTTCTTAATTTCTCAGGAAGGCCAAAGAAGTTGCAGTGTATCCTTCTATCACCTTGGTTTTGGTTGCTGAGGCACATGTGAGAGCAGAACAATATGTCGCTTTTTTGGATTTTTTTATGTTCATTACTGTTCATTCTGAAGGAGTGAAACATGATTAAAGAGGAGTCTTTCTGGGTTTATGCAAACATTGACAGTACGTAATTTCCCTGGAAAGGAAAGAAGCACTTTTTCATACTTATCGCTAAAACTGTCTCAGTTTCTGGGATGACAGGTCAAATGCAACTCCTACGGTTGCAGTATGACTGCAGTTCATGATGTAGTCTATAGGATGCAAACCCAAATGAAGACTGGTGGAAAAAGATTTAAGCAGGGAATGGATTTTAATCTTTTTATTCCAAAGAACATGGCCAGTCACTAGCTGTTGTTCGCTCTGAAGTGCATGCAAATATTATGCACACATATAAACTTTATATCTACAAAACTTTAGTTTTCTGGATTTTCCAAATAGAGTATTATTAGCTTCTAGCTATTCTAGCTAGTCAGTGATATCTTTGTTATCACTGCCTAGCAGAGTATTCTAATTAACAACACTGAGCCCAAAAGTGCTTGTTTTTGTGGACATAAACAATAGCATGTAAGCATCAGAACTAAAACTTGCCTTTAAATAAATGCGTGTCGTGATGTAGTTCAGAAATAATTTCTGAGCAGGAAAAATCCGTTAGTGGTAAAATTACTGTATGGGCTCTTTTTTGGCTAATGCTTCGAAATGTTGTTTCCACCTTTATGCTAGTAATGTGGTAATGACTATAGGATTCTTATCTTTTGAGAAATCTACAACTGCTTGTTTAGTCTGAGCAAAGCATTTAGCCAGTTGCATATATTCAGTGAGGGCCACAGAAAGGACACAATTTCCTGTATATAACCACAGAGTGCAAATATTGTACCCTAAATAACACACCAGTTACTGTAAATGTCAGTAGAGGGAGTTTTTCTGACTTTGATTTAGTAAGAGCCTACAGCAAAGCCAGCTGTTACCACTTCTTAGCTGCTTCTCATTGTGAAGGGGGGAGCATCATTTCTACACACTTTCGTCTTTTCATTTAAAGAGGGAAACAATTTTTCAAGCACTACCCAACAGGTGCAGGTACATTAGCTGTGATGGACTCTTTCTTTGCTCCTTTTTTGTGTTTGTACTAAGTTTGCTAGTTCTTGGTAAGTTCTAGGTAAAAGCTGATGCCTGCCTTGGAAAACACATCATCAAAAACTAGGGGAATCAATTTCAAGTTAGCTGAGGAGCCCTTCAAGTGTGAGCTTAGCACAAAGACAAACAGTGTGCATTGCTATGTCTGTGTATAAATTGATTTAGTTATTTGTCACAAATTGGGATAGAATTAATAGAAATGGATGAAAGAGTGATAAACAGAACAAGCTAGCATGTTGGCAGCCAGTCATCTTTTGCAAATCAAGACAGCTCCCAACAGTTGCCATTTTCTGCAAAAGGCAACTTGTTCTGCCCTAGTATGTGGGTTTTTGAATAATGAGGGAGACTAGGCAATGAAATAAAAATTACTTTGCAGTTCTTCAGGCAATATTTTTCAGCTATAGCTTTTAAGGGTTTTTGCAAGGGCAAACAAAATGTGTATGCAAATGGTCTTTCACAAGTGAAAACCTGTATGCCCAAGTCAAGTTGCTTGACACCAAGTCAAGTGTGCATGTTGAACTGCAGGCCAGTGTACAATTTCGAAACTGCAGACATTGATGGAAGTTATCAGCATGTTCAGGTTGGCAGACAATACACTAGGAAGTCCAGTCTGTGGTGACAGGCAGTTGTATTTCCCTATGATCACGTATTTTGAGGCAAGCGCAGTTCTAGAAAGGAAGTTTTGACAGCAGCACTTGTTCCTGGGAAATATGTAAGTGCTGACACTAGTCTTGTGTGTATAATCTTTTGTACTGGTGCTAGACATGTTTCCACTTACTCTTTTTCTCCTAATACAGTAAGTACTCTTAAAATGAAATACTTGGAATGGGAAATGATGAGGGAGGGCAGAAAGAAGAAATAAGCTGGGTTTGCTTTGTTAGTTATATAACATGGGAAATCATCTTCTGACTGAAGCAAGTTCAGTATTTTCTCAACAAAGGTAGATATATTGAAGCATATGGAGGCTGATTTTGCTGTAGAATGTAATGGTGTGTATTTCTGCTTTTGTGGGAGTAGATACGTAGTTCTATTTTTAGCATTGTCACCTTCAGTGTCTTTGTTTTTTCATACTTTTTTTGGTTGCTGAAGCCTATGGCCTAGCATTTCAAGGCTAGCTTTTCTCTAAGTGATCTTAATTATTCTGAAGTGTAATTTTTCAGAGTAGACACCTGCATTACAGCAGAAACCATATTAAACAACCTCTTGAGAAAAAGGTGTGGAAAGTTGAAAGGAGATAATGAAACATTGAAAATAACATGTGCTTCACTTCTTCCACGGAAAATAATCAAAAAAGGGATTAGAATTAAATCTGCAGTTCTTTCCCTGATATTCCATGATCAAGCTACTTTGTGCACTTGAACTCCTTACATGCAGAGGCTGAAATGTGTCCAGCCCTTCAGATGAAGCAAAGATAAAGGATATTTTATTTTAGCACAAAAGATGATTTGCATTTTCACTCTTACTCTTCCACTTGTCTCTTTTTCTTCCCCATTTACAGCTTCTGCGATCCCAGATAATGGAAGGAGATCCTGTCTAAAGCTTAAGGTCTTTGTGCGGCCAGCAAGTAAGTTCTTCAGATTAAGCTTTTGAGGGTGGCTTTGTAGTGCTTGCTTTACTGTGTGGTCTAGTAAACAGCAATAAATCTTTTTTTTTACTGTTAAATCTTGTGTATCTGTTCCGTACAGCAACATTTGTGTTATGATTTTCATTATATTTTCTTACCGTTTTTCATAACGCTTTGTTTTAATTACATGGCAGTTGCTAACTTGTTGTTTCTTAAAGTGTTGTACAAAAGGAAGACTATACTGGCATTTGGACAAGTGCCACAGACTTTAATATATGAATATGTTAATTATATATAGTAAATAGAGAGAAAAAAGAGAGAGAAAAAAGGAAAGTGGGGAGTTTAAGGGTGTCTCACTAACATATTTGGCTGTTATCTCTATTTTTGTTATAGACAGCTGTATGAAAACTATAGGTGTTCATGATCGTGTTTTCGATGTTAACGACAAAGTAGAAAATTCATTAGAACCAGCAGGTTAGTATGCTTAGAGAATCTCTTTTAACAAATGCGTGTATCCCTCTGGTGCTTCAGTACTTTTTTTCCTCTTCTCTCTGCATGCTTTGCATGGTAAAACTGCTCTGCTTTTGCACATTTCTAGCAGTGCTAATATCTCTTATGGTGTATTTCCTGTATCCTTGTTTAATGCAGGGGAGGAAAAATGTTGCTTTTTTTGTGTTTTGGGTGATGTGGTGTAATACAAAATGGTGTGTGCCAGTGTAAAATTTTCACCAGTATCCTGAAGTTACTGGTCCATCTGAGCCAAACACCCAGCATGTTGGCAAAACAGTCTATTTACTAACTGGGCCCAGAGTTTTAGAAATAAAGTCAATGGGCACACTTCATTTTTTATGTGGTTTCAAAAGACTTTCAGAAGAGTAGAACCATGGCTTCTTTAATGGTGGTGCATGACACAGGCATGCACCTGACAGAGTTAGTGTTTAAGTAGGAAATTAGTTCTTTGAAATTATATACATCTGTATGTATATGTGGTTAGGCAAAGTATCGTTTTTACATACAAACACACATGCACACTGATGTATATAAATTCATATCCTGTTTTTATTGAAGCAAACTTTTGAGGGGCTTGTCTGTCTTGTTTTTGAAAAACACTGCTTGAAGAATAATGCTAGCTGTGATAAAGCCCCACATCTGCCCAGGGCAAAATTGCGTTAACCTCCACTATCAATCAAGCTGGTGTCTCTCTGTGTTGAAAGTGCATGTGTATTGTTCGTATGGCTCAGGTTTATGACAGATAGAAGCATGTTCAGTTCTAGGTGTGTGAGTAATCCCACCAACTACAATGGGATGGCTCATGACGTTAATATTAGGTGGGTACATGCATACCAGTTAGTACATACCCCGAAGAACAGATTACCAAGATTTTTTTTTTTTCCTCTTACGCTATTTGAAAGAGACTTCCCTTTGGTATGAAGCAACATGCCATTTTTTTTCTCTTTGTTATTTGCAGTTCCTGTAACTAAATGTCATTATTTATACAGAAATATAAATAAAGCTTTCACTAGTTATCCAGTTTGAATGATTTACCTATGGATACACAATAGAGTTTATTATTTTTCTTTAAGAGGATTTTCGGAACTCTCCTTAAAATTTTGATTTTGAGAATCAAAGATGTTCTCTAAGTAAATGCAAGGAGAGTGCATGTACACTAGATATGTTTGTACATTTATTAACAATATTCTTCTACAGAAGGCATTAAGATGATCTTCCCCTATCTCTAGGTAACCTATGAATCTAGAAACTGAATGCACTTTTTTATGTTTTGTGATTTGGTGAACATGGGCTGATTAATATATATTTCTTCTGTTACTGGTTTGCAAAAGAGATCATCCAAGTAACAAATGCCTGATTTTGGTGAACTCGCCGAGCATTTCTTTTCAGCAGTGCTGCTCACTTCCCATTGAATGGCTGTACTTAACTAGGACCATCACAAAAGCACGTCTTTAGAAGGCAGCAGGCAAACCAGGAAACCAAAATCATACAAAGTACATCCTGCAGTCTGAGATGAAATACTATTTATGTTACCAGGAGGAAATAATAGCTTTAATGAGAAGGTTTAGTACCAAAAAGTTCCCGCTCCCATCATCAGTGTATATTTGCATTGTTATTTGGACCAGTCACCATTAGACGATCAGTAATTCCCAGATCTGCCAACTGCTGTCACACTTTTCTGTTATTAGGCTGTTAGACTTGCTACTGCCTTGGTGGATCTTATTGCATGTGATCTGTGTCATGTACTAATTTACCTGCCTCTGGCGTGCATCTTCTGCTTCTGTGCTCTCCCCTAGCCTGCCACTGTCTTCTTCCACAGTAGACAGAAGAATTGGGAGGCAGAAGGGTCATGTTCAGCAGATTACTTACTGTCTGTCACCTTTCTTTTAAAAATCACCGTTTGTGTGGTTTGTGAACCCTTGTAATTTCACTGGTTTTCTTCAGGAATTCGTAGGAAACTGTGCTATAGAGAACACACTTGTTTCAGAAGCGGTGACAGTAATTGGCCCTATTCCTATCCTCCCCTTCTCGTCCTCCTTAATAATAAAACTAAAAAGTCCCTAAACAAAAATTGCAGCTGTGTGTATCTGGAAAAGTGGTACCTGAAGCATATGATGTAAAGCTATGTGATCTGGAAAATTCGTGGCTGTCAACATATTTTTTTCTAATTACTGCTGCCATTCCTAGTCTCTAGCAGTGACCTTCCAGCTTTTACTCAGGAATTTTGTCCTCTTCATCACTTGGCTTTAGTGTTTAAAATAAAGCAAAATATTTTCCCTGAGCATTAATGATTGTGCAGTGTTATAACTCTGCACCTCCAAGGAAAACCATATTTGTAAAGTGATTTTGAGAACTGCAGATGAATTGTGTGCTCTAATATACGAGTGCAGAGACCTTGGGACTGCCTTGACAGAAAACTCAGATGATTTCTTGAAAGAACCCCTTAATTTTACATTAAAATTAATTCTCCTGGAAGAACGGTTTTATAAAACTGGCATCATAGAAAATCTCTGTATTTTTCATCTAAGAGAAGTAATCTTTTTAGTTTAGGGCTTTTTCATTTATTTTTTTTAGCAGTAGCCAGTGTTACAGTCATGGCAATATCTGATAGTCAAAGAGAATGAGGATTTATTACTGCTCTACACTAGTTCTGCACTATTGTGTTTTAGTGCTGACTCACGGTTGTAATTAGGACAAAACTGTTGACATTCAGTGTTGCAGTTTCAGACCTATATGCAATTCTGTTGATGATACAAGAGATAGAAGGTAATGCACATCATTTCCCCGGTAGTTTTAGTTTATGAGCAGTGAGTAAATGTTTCCAAATTGGGAAGAGCTGACTCTAAATACATGAAAGGAGGTAAAGCTGACAGTTAGAACAGGGGTATTTTTTCCCCCTGACTTCTTAGAGTATGATTTAATTGGGAAGCTGCTCTTGTGAAGCGCTGTATTCTCATTGCAGTTATCACCAAAGTACAAAAGTGTAACTCGGAAGTGAAATGGGTAACAGCTTTTAGTAGACAGACACTAGAACTGGCAGTTTTCAGTAGCCAGCATTCACTGAAATTTTTAGATTCATTTGGAGTAACTCTGGAGGAAAAATATTAGGTCCTTGTTCAGGGCCAGAGTGCCTGGGAGGGTGTCTCTGCTGTACATGGTGAGGAGCTGTAACCAAATTCTTTCCCACTAACATCAACGGGACTTTCGCCTGATGATATTCCTTGCTTACAAATACGAGTGTATTTACAGATGATCAGTGCTTGCTTTTCATACTTTTGCCTTGAGCGGCACTGAAGACCTGTTGATAAGCCTGACATGATTGTGACATCAATTAATGCTGGGAAAAAAATGTGCTAGATTACTAATCCAGTTTACAGTGCATCTTGCTGTGTAACAGAACTGGAGCTGAAGAGCCTGTTAACCCAAATTATGCTAAGTGCTCTACCTGCTTTTGTGCTAGATGTCAAGGGTGTGAAGGGGAGGGAGCTTGTTTTTAGCTAATGCTAAGTAACGAGAAAGACTCCTGGCCAAAACAGCGTGGTGATCCCAGTGTCCTGACTTCCACTTCCTTTAGTAACTTTAATTGGAATTGCACAGCTCTTACCCAGTGTAATCCTGGAAGTGCAATTTGTTGAGGTGGGAGCTATGAGACAGATACATCATAGGTATGATGACACCTCTCATAAATTGGGGGAGCTTATCACACTAAGTAGTGAGATACTGTTAATTTTCCTGGAAACTTGGGCACTCTAAAATGAGTTACGAATGCATTTTGAGGCCACTTCACACTTCCTAAAATGGTTGAGTTTATTTCATTATTTTAGTACTAACAAAAATTCAAACTCAAAGATGGCTTTTTATAGCAATCCTCAGACAGATTACTTTTAAATAGCCGAATTAGATAGCTGTGGATATGGAAGGCTTTGCAGAGAAAAACTGAATTTGAAGTAGACTTTACTTGCCTTTTTTTGTATGTGTGTGATACAGGCTGTGGCTTTAAGGCTGATCTCAGGTTTACAAAAACTAAGCAGAGCTTAATTTGGTATCATGTTTAGTACTTTCTACTGTGTTCTCTTCTGCCACTAATGTATAAGCATGTTTTCCCAACTCAGCTGTTTTTTTTTTTCTTTAGTTAAAATAGCATATATGTAAACCTATATTTTGTGTACCATAAAAGGTAGTTTGTTACCTATGAGGTTTTCCGGATTGAGTATGTATTCTATCAAATAGGAGATTGTCATGAGTTAGTCTTTAAAATTCCGTTTCAAGAAAGGCAGAGTGGTGCTATATCCCCTGCATATCCCCGAATGCAGTATACTTAAGTGGAAATTTAATGCATGGAAGTGGAATATCTGCTTGGGCTTACAAGCTGTCATTTCGAATTCAGGAGCCAAAATCTGTAACTCAGTAAGGAGATTAACTGCAAAATTAATTCTGAGCACATGCAACTCTCTTCAAGCCCTTTTGAAAATCAGGTGTTTTTATTTAGCTGCCTCACTATTGACTTTGCTATCTAATGAGCCATCCAAAGCTACAGCTACAGTGTTTTATTAGAGGAGGAATCTTTCATTCTTCAGTCTGCTGAAATCAGACTTACTTTCTGCTCCTCTGGTCTTCAGTGGGAGTTTTGCCAGTAAGAAACGCAGGACTTGGCCCCAAGTTGGTTACATAATGAGGTATTACACGCTTGTGAAAGTCAATGACAGCACAAGGTTCATTGCCCTATTTCATAAAGGCGCTGAAATCTACTTACAGTTGTCGGCTCAGTGAGAGTTTATTAAGGATGCAAAATCTCATTGGAATGTATGCTTTCTGTTTGAACAGATGATACCGTACATGAGTCAGCCGAGCCATCCCGTGGTGAGAACGCGGCACAGACACCAAGGATACCCAGCCGGCTTTTGGCAACTCTATTGTTCCTCCTGGCAATGCTTTTGATATTATAGCACAGTATGCTCCAGCAACCTGTCGCAGAAAATATCAGGGTCTTGGAACATCAAAGATCCACCTAACTGCTCATCCCGGGAAAGGGACTTTATTTGTTTTTGCAGATGTCAAATTGTTATTTTTCCCGTTTCCCTTTTCTTCTCCCTCTTAGCCTGAACTCAGCAAAAATTTGAAGGGGATAATTAGCTTCTAGAACCAATCCCTACCTACCCTGTGACTTTCTTAACCCCTCCATATAAATAAAAGGACTCCAAATGAAAATGCCAAACTATAATAGTGACACTAGTGATTCTTATTTTCCTCTGCATTCTCCTTTAATAAGTCACCACTGTTAGCTCACTGTGTCATCCGTATGTGGACAAGGAAGAATAGTGGCAGATGCAGTCAGTGAAGGATAAAGAAAGTGAGTGAAAGCCTGGGAGAGCTTTTCTCTCCGATACAATGTTTATGCCTTCTCATTCAGCACTGTAAGATGATCATGCAAGGCATCGTGTCGCCGTGTCAGGACTGGAGGGGAAATATTAAGAATAGATATAATATAACACCATATCCTCCGGGAGTTTCTAAATGAACAGGCTTCTAAAAGACAATGTCTCTTATAGGACTGTCTTGAAACATCTTTGACAGTAAAATTTGTACTCACAAGTAGAAACGCTGGAAAAAGTATTTAGGAATGTTAGCACACAGCAGGCAAGGTCAGATTTAAGAAATTTCACTGGGGGTGTGAGTGCCTCTGTTATTTCGTTTTAAGGGGATAATGCACACCGGATTATTTTATTTTAAAACAAATCACCGTGGTGCTACAATTTTTTTCTTGAAATGCAGAGGCGCTGTTGAGAATAAAGTGACCTTCCCCAGCGCTGACTTAGTAGCTGATAGCCTTGGATGCTGCTCTGGGTGTTAAGACATGCTAAGAGAGGACATCAGTGGCCAGAGGAAACGTGTTTGGGACACAGGATCTCCAGTGGGCTCTTGATTTGTCTCTCCTGCAAGTTCCTCAATCATGGGAATAAATGATATGTAGAAGAAGCCAGGACAGTCTAGTAGCATGGGGGGGTGGGGGGGTGGGTGGAGGGGGCAGAGAAAAGAAGTGTGGAATATGAATTCAAGTGTTGATTTTTTATCTTTTCCCCTTCCAGCACAGTTTGAAGAGTAGAGGAAACGTGTTTATCAGCCAGAGATAAACTAGATGGGCTCCCAAAGACTTAACAAAATATTTTTTTAAAAATCCACTAGAATAGAAAATACATTATTTAGATATACTTTATGCTGAGAGTGAGTATATATGCTTGTCCTATTTAAACATGTGAGAGAAGTGGTAACCCTTGATGCAATTAGGAAATGGGACTGTCTTGTTTGATGGAATTAGGAGTGACCCTGTTCAAGGAATCTGAGCCTTGGCTAACTAAGAAGTCATTTGCCAGGAAGTGCAAGCCTTGGGGTGTTTTTTGGCTGGGCTGCCATGAAATTTAAACTGCTGAGCACAGTCAGAGAAATACCAGACCAAGACAGAAACAGAGTTTTTCTAACAAAAACTGCGATAATTAAGTTAAATGTGAAACAAAAGATGGAGCGCATTCAAACAAAAGCGTTTTCTATGTTAATTCTGAGGAAAGCGTCTGCCATAACAAAACTGAGTGAAACAGTGATACTGATGGACAGCATTTTGTGGGCTTTTTTTAAAGGAAGAAAAGCTTTACAGAAGTTAAAGCAGCCCACTGTTCAAAAAAGGAGGAAAGGGGGAAAATAAATTTAAGATGTAAAGGGAGATTTTATGCATACTAAACTATGATCTGGGCTTGCCTGATATCATACAACACGGTCATTAATGCAGGGCCTGTGCTTTTCAGGAGGAAGGTAGGATATTTCCTGTAGTGTGAAGTGTACAAAATAAAGATACGCAGTCTAAGCAGTGAAGAGAAGTTGTCATCTCATTACATGCTGTCTGGTACTTTTCTCTCTTTAATGTGGGTGTGCTTGGTACACACACTGATACTTCCTGTAGGTAGGAATTAAAAAGCTTCGGGTGAGGTGAGCTTAATCAAAATGCACCTTATCAAATGGATTATTAATCAGAGTACGGATAATATTGCATGATAGGTAACTGTATTAAAATGATTCATAGCAATTGCAAGCAGTCATGCCACTAGCGCCAATTTCAGGTAGAAATGGTGACTTCATTTTTCATCCTTTGTCTCTGAATGATGTCAGAGTTCAAGATGTATGTTTATCCACAGGAAAGGATTTTCACTAGCGTTACTCCTGGTGAAATTCAACCCTTCACTTTATTTACAGAGCCATGCTGGGTAGATGAGGAAGAACACGAGTGATGCAGCTGCCCAGGGTAGGAGCGTACCGAACGCTGTCAGTTTGATACTTGATGGCATCAGGCAATCCCAGCCATACCAAGCACATGAGTGCTGACGGGCTTTATGTTGTATTGCAAATCTCTGGATGCTTGAAATGCAGATGTTGATGCAAATTAAGGAAATTTCTGCTCCCTTCCCCTTTCTCTGCTCCATCTCAAGTCTGAGGGACTGATTCTCCCTCAGCCTACTGGCTGGCTTGCCCCCATGACCTGCACTCCTGGCTGCCAAGGGCATTGCAACCTGAAGCAGGGAAAATAGGGATCAGTCAGTTTAGTGGATACTGTGTATCCTTTAATAGACAAGGTAACATTTCGTGTTAGTTTAGGATATTGTTTTGTACTGTACTTACTTGGATGGCGAAGGAAAGACAAGTAAAACTTAAAGCTATGTTCTTTAAATTCTGTATTATTAGCAACCTCTGTTGTATATAGTGTTTGATAATAAAGTATTAATTTGATTCTTATGTCTTTTGTAAGTGAGAACAATAGACTTTCAGGATATTAAAATCACACGTTGATTACAAGACAGAGCTTTGAAGCATCAAGTGTGATCATGGCTGAGAACTGAGAGACAAGTGGCCATGACACTGCAGCATACAGGACTCATCTTTGAAAATTGTTCATCTGTTGCAAGACTTCACAATGTCAAGACCTGGAACAACATGACTTTTGATGATCAATGTTTTGTCCTCAGTGTTTAAAGGTCTGATGTTGGAGCCCTGTGGTTTCTGTGTTAGTTTTTGTTCTTTTGTTATCATGTTTGTTTCTAAAAAGACTTTGGGGATATAACAACTCTTCTGTTATTTTGTTTGTTTGTTTCTTTTTTCTTTAATATTTTTTCCTCCTGTTTTTCTTCTGGTTTTGTTTCCATGAATAGTTTTTTCCAGAAAGGATCTTGCCAGTGTCACATGCGATAGATGTATGTACGTGGTTCCAAAAGAACTAGAAACAAATTTGGGAGGTACTGAGAGTAGATGAGTAGTTCGTTTCCTTTCCTGTATAATTGTGGAAGGAAAATGGTTGTATTTGTACCTGTTGATTCCCACCCCTAACCCTCAAAACCAACTTAATCAGTCACTTTCATAGGCTTAGAGCGTTAACTCTTCCCCTCCTTTCATTACACTTGGATTTTGTAATCACCAGTTTTAATGTACAACCCCCCACGCTTCTCTTCCCTCTTCCTGCCCTTCCTCCTCTCCCACCCTCCTCCTTTTTTAATTTGGAGCTGTGAATGGGCAGATCTGTTTCTGGTCTGGCATCACTGAGTTTTTCCCATGCATTTGCCCTCGAGCTTCTCGGATGTGAGACAAATCTCCCTACAATAGGCTTGCTGCCATTGTCTGTACAGTTTAATAGATGCTGGCATGTTGGAGGTTACCCATGAGTCTGCGAAATCCGCTTTCCATGCTTACTCTTGACACCCCATTGAAGACACTCATTGTGTATGCATCTGGGTATGAAAGTCCAGCTCAGTGTGGTCCTGTGCTTGTACTGCCCTGCTTTGCAGTTTCTTTGCACTTATTCATTGAGTGCTGTTTTTGAAATGCTTACATTATATGAACTTAAAAGAAAATGTTAAAAAAACAAAACACCCAAAATCCCTGCCCCGTAAGATCTGTATTTGTATATACACGTGTCCGTACAATTATACTTAAATAAAATTAAAGATTTTCATCATTTTAATTGGTTCTCTTAGGCTACACTTTTGTTCAATGGATTACGTCTTTGTATTGGGGGTTTTGGGGGTTATTCGTACCTGCCTGACATATTTGTGGACAATGGAAAGCAATGAAGAGTATGATTTTGAAAGTGAGGAATGCAGTGGGCACAATGACTGACTATCTAGCGCTGTAACTGCCGACATTCTGGCTGATCTGAAGCCTGGCTGCTCTGCTCTTCACCTTTTTACTGTAAGGTGTTCATAGCTCTTCCAAATACTGAGGAGAGTAGGGAGCTCTGTCAGCCAAGTGCTGGAGCATTACATGGTTTCCATCATCATTCCTGCCCTGCTCTGGGCCTTCCGAGCAGTCTTCCTTACTCCCTTGGGTAACAGGTGGCTGTATGGTGTAATTCCTACTTTGGGAGGAATAGAGCCAGCCCCATGAGCTGTGCAAACCAGGCAGTTGTGCCATGGTACCCCTCTGCCCAGGATGCCCATCAGACTGACAGAGATGGGATTGGAAGTGGCTTTGAAATCTCAGCCATGTTTTTCTTTGCAAAGGGGCAGAAAAGGGCCGAGAGCAGTGGGAGCCTCACGGATGGGTGCGTTTGAGCAAGGTTGCCTCCTGAAGGGAACAGGGACAATAGGGAAGCAAGCAGCTGGCTGTTTCTCCTCCTTCCATCCACCCTTGCCCCCAGAGCAGGGTGTAGTGCCTCTAAAAATGCACAGGACTCAATTGGGGTTGACTTGTATTTAGGTCTGAAATGGTTGTCTTTGGCAGTGCCTGTTCACTAATCATATGATAGGTTTAACATGAGAATTGAGGTCATAGAAGGTGGGGGGCGCATACCGAAACCTATAATACATGCATCATGCATTCAAAACTCAGCTGTAATTACACCATGTTAGCATTAAACTCACCGAAAGCTTTTTATTACCTTTAATTAGTTGACAGGGCAGCAAGTACTAATTATAACTTACTCTAACCTTCCTTACAAATGAGAAGTGACAGCTTGGTGAGAGAAGTGTGCGTGAGTATTTGATACAAAGAATTGATGCACCAGATTTTTTTCCTCTGGAGCTGTGATGTTACAACCAGGGCA